CGATACGTTTTAACTTCAATATCTATTATACAATTAATTAAAAATGAAAAGTTACTCATGAAAGTTAATTTAGATAACAAATACAGGGTGATTTAATTGACAGGTTTGTGATTGAACCATCCATTTTGTTAACGAAAGATGCGTTAACTACGTCCTTTGTTAGTGTTAAAATTAACTGTTAATTTAACTCATTTTGTACTCTGTTGTTTTATAGGACTATGGGAAAGGATAAAAATCTCACAGCTGGCCTGAACTAGGTATGTAGCTACATTTAGAAAAATAGATAAAGGTCAAAATAATAAAGAAAATCACTATTAGCATCGAGTTTTAAATTATTGTATCTCTTTAGATGAAATTATTTGATTTATTTATAATTATATTAATACTTCCAGGTTACGAAATGTAATAATTCAAAAATAAATTAGAAAAAAAATTATACATTAAGAGATCTAAGTCTAGATTTTAGATTACGTTTTATTGGTTCTTAGATCTTAAATTACGTTCAAATGTCTGAAATGTTAGTAAATACTTCGTGTGTCTAACGCGATATCTCTCATTTATTGTATGTATTGGTCTATCTATGTAATTGGTATATCTAGCTTCGAGTTAAGACATATATAATTTAATGTTAAGTCTGATTAAATATGGATTAAAAAAATGTATGCTTTTAAAGTTCTTTATAATTAAAATAATTGTGAATAAATATATTTTGTGAAACAACATATTTTTGAGAATAACAAGTAGTTAAGCCGCGCTCGTACAGTGATGTATTACTGCAGTTATTCGTTAGTCGTTACGTACAAAATATTGTTAACGATATTACTTTACTAACGGGAGACGTTGGGCATTTTTCGTTATTTACGGACATCTCGAATGATTTGTTTGTTATTGTTAAGCCCGGGAGCCGTGTAAGCTTGCGATTGTCAATTCTCAGAGTGATGTATATTTACACTTCTGTATACAAGAGAAAACAATAAAAATAATACACGGTATTAGTTTTGAGTGTTCAGGCTTATCGAAAAAAACTACACCTCAAAGCAAAAAACTAATTTATAATATCCTTTTTAATCTTGATATATTAGGGACATACATATTTTAAATCCCTTGAGCATGGTAATATATGAGTTTTTGTTTTGACAAGTTAAGAATGACTACGATTTACTTAACAAGTAATTGATTTTGTTCTATTAAATCATATCTTATTTACTCTATATTAAAAATTAGTCTGTGGTATCAGTCTCGGCTACAAAACAATGATCCAAATACTACGCTCATATTTATTTCGTACAAGGCAGTTTTCCTTGATGCTCTACTATTGGATATATATATATATATATATATATATATATATATATATATATATATATATATATATATATAGACAATCCGCCTCTTTAGTTTAGTTTCACTCTTATAACTATTCGTACTCTTTTGTCTTTTTCTGTCGAACTGTGTTCATGTTGGGTTAAAAAGAGACAATAGATAAAATTTGTTACAAAACATTTGTTTGATATTTGTTTTATTCCAATGATTGTATTAACAAACTAACATCACATCTTAGTAAACATGATAACATTTATGATGATATAACGCATCATTACATTATAATTTATGATTTCAGTGTAACAGGACCTCAATATAACCTTTCAACAACCTCAAACCCTACAAAGGAGCAATAATCACGAAAAAATAAAATATAAAGAACAATTCGTTTAGAATCGCTTAGAATCAGAGGGAATGGTTGGATCGCGTGTTCCACTGCACGGAACTATGATTTGAGGTTTAACAAGGTTTACGGAGTTCTTGTATTTACCTGTTAATTTTTTAACAATATCTTGAACTGTGAATAATGGGATCAAACATGATATTGAATATTCACCGAATCTTAAATAGAATTTGTTTTGAATAAGCGGATTCTATGCTTGTTTTTAATTAACCTGTCAATAAAAAATATGTTAAAAAGATGCAAGTACTTTAATATTCGCATCATAGTCATATTATGTTTTGTAAAAACAGAAAGATAATGATTTTTATATGGAGGGCACACCAATACAATAATTTATAACTTAATTCTGTTACTTCTTATATATTGGCTATAGAGGATATATCGTACGTTCCTGAAAACAGTTTTCTTGATTAAAAAATGCATAGCAAAATCAAAGCAAAATCAAGTCACATAATATTATGTACAGGAATTACAGTACGTGATTATTTTATCTTATAAATGAATCGACTCTTGTATACAGTTCTTTGACAATTGTGCCGACCGGAAGCATTCTTGAAGAATCTTGGTCGAATGAATGAAAAGAATGGACGTCGAGGTGATACGGGTGGAATTTCGTATTCTGCCTTGACGTCTGATGATGAAACTCAGCTGCAGGTGTTAATCCGAACCACTGCTCTGAACACCTTCAGTAATAATTGCGGAAGAAGATGCAGAAATATACACATTTTTACGCCAAGGCATCAAGCCGCTCGGAAAGGGATTGGTAATCAAAATCATAAAAAAAGGTACGTTGTTATGATCTTAACTTTATAGTTCGTTAAAGTTCCTTCCACTGCTGCAAAACAACTGAATACGCATAATAATATGATAAAATATGCCCATTTGCATGATAATTTTGCCATCACTTCACACGTCCAACTCAAATTAATTTTTTTCAACACCAATACGTTAACTCCCGCTGAGTAACTTAACAGCCATGTAATTTCATCTGTCATTACACAGTTTTTTTACTTATTATAACGCTATTAAGGCTTATATTCGGATAAACAAAGAATCTGTTGAGCTTTCAAACTAAAATATATCATACAATTATGTGCTTTATTTTATGAGTGTTTAATATGTTATTCAAATGAATAACATTTGACCATACATCCCCCGCTGTGCGGTATAATTTCTTCGAGGTCCTGTATGGAATTGTTTCTGATATTAAATCGTTTTTGGAATTGCCGCAAAGGATGTAATGAGAGATTTTAAATGACCTATGACCATTTAAGATTGAAATTACAGTTGTCTACAGGAACGAATCTTCTATTTGAGGCAACCGTAATCCAATCCGATGTTATTAAGTGTAAATATCTTTACATTTGAACATTTGATAGTTAATTATTTTGTGAATTTTAATATAATGGCCATCTGGCGTCTTTTAGTAGCATACAACAGTTTGATTAGGCCAGTCTATAATAACGAATAAGGGTAGTACAGTAGTAGAAAAAACATGTGTATGTACTTATGTACATTGTACATGCGTTAGAAGTTATACTTCTTTGGCGTGCAAAGATAAAAATCTGTTTAAATTTTTTATCTTTTGCCTTTTTTTGTTAGAAAAAGTATTGTAGAAAAAACGACACTAACAATAGAAAAAACGCATTATCTAGTTAAATAAAGTCTATTTAAATATCACAAAAAAAAAATTCTACATAATTATTAAAGAAATGGACATTTTTTTATTTTAAAATGTTGACTATGCTAACTTCAGGGTGTCGGTTTTGTGACAATGTGCGGGTGTCGGTTTTTTGTGATGGTGTGCGCGCGCATCGTAAAAATTTACTCTCATCATTTTTCCTTACCGCACCAAAAGAAAGCTTCAAAAGCCTTTAAGTGTGAAATCTTAAAAGATTAGATGAACATTTGGGACCGTTTGTCTATAGGAGAAATCTGAACGAATGAAATTATTTATGAACTAAGTAACTACTAAGAGTCATACAAATTTAAAATCCTAATCTAAACATCGGTTGCACTCTAACGTTGAAAAAAACTTCAATCTTAAAACATCATTCGCAGTACAGAGCTAAAATCAACAAAATGTAAAATTCAAAACAGCGGTCGGACTAATATTTTGCGAGGTCACTCAACGTACGAATGAATGAGAATATTTCCCCAATGTTTTTTGAGTTTTTGTAAACGTACTGTAAACGATGTGCCACGGTTTATATCAGCCGAATGGGCTTTATCTACTTCTTGATAGTAAAGGCTTGATGATTTAAAGCTTATGTTACTAAAATATTCATTACGAAACGATTTTCACTATCCATATTCAAAGTATAAGCTCCGTATATTATTACGTTTTGATATACTATAATTTGATTGAACTCGCTTACCTCAGGAAATTAATTTAAAAGTACTGGTTTTGATTAATCCATTTATCGCGGAAGGCGGCGGATTTAACGCGGAAAAAGGCGTTAAGAGAGAGCCTCTAAACGCGTTATACATACAATTTTTTTTAAACTAAGCTAGGTTCAGGGTATTTGCAATTTTAAAAATAGTGGGTATTGCCATCATTGTATGTACAACTTGCTTTGTAAGGATTATCGGTTCTTGGCGAATTGTAAATGTGTAAGTTCGAACGAAGCTTATGAATTGCGGGCACACTAATAATAATGAGAACTTGGATTTCTTGAGATGGCTCTTTTACGAATGCGTGTTAAAGAGACAATGACGTTATCATTTATCTAATTATAATCTAGATCATACAATTGATAGGATTTGTGTCAGTAATTTGAACGAGTGTCGTAATATTATTATTCGATTGTCACGTTTGCGAAATAAACGACAGAGTTGCTCAAATATCAATGATGATATCATTTTTATATAAACGACTCAAAAGTGCAATTAAGGGAGAATAAAAATGACATACACGTAATCAGTAAATAATAAGGATTTATTTAAATCTAACGTCAATAAGAGAATACAATATAGATAGATAGAGTCAGTTTGTGAATCCGTGATATGTTGTTACGCTTTTCTCCTTAACAGCCTTTCAGATTAGGGTGTTGTTGTAGAAGTTGTCTTATACATTTAAACTTAGAAATAACTTATTTTAATTTTTTATCTGTACTATTTGATAAAGGTTTGAATAAGGAATACGCAATACATCGTTCAAATACAGTTTATTTTAAAGATAAATGAAAACAATGGTTAGAGCTAGTGAAGCGTTCATTTTGAGAACCACTGAAATAGCAAACGCAATTGAAATCATAACAATATGAATGACAAAATGCAGTATCCGCTAGTAACAATAACAGCGCGCGCGCATCCGTACATCATGATTTATTTGTGGTTTATATTTATTATTTGTGCTGCGGATGCTGCTAAATCTATAAAAGGTAACTTTTTTTTATTTTATAAATAATATTAAACATCTATTTAGTACCTAAATATTACTAGACAAAATAATAATTTACGATTTACTGCAGAGAAAATTAGAATATATAGAAATGTGTTGTCTCCCTGCTTTTAATTGAGGATACACATGCTTATGGTACAAGTAGTTATAAAAATACATTAGTATATTTTATACATAATGTAAAATAATTGTTTTCCTAATTTTGCGGCTTCAGATGGTTTCATAAGTATTAATGATCGATGCCAAAAGCCTAGCTCATCCTATACAAACAACTTATAGTGATATAATGTTACGTATAGGCTGTGAGTCGAAATTATTTGCCAATCAGCAATTCGGAACGCTATTGTCAACATTTTACCTCTTCCATTGAAACTTGAAATACTATACTTTCAATTGAATTTATTGAACAAAGCTGAGTGTATTTGAGGTTATTTTATTGGTTGTTCATTTTAACAGTGACAGAAAAATATATAAGGTTCCCTTTTTTGAAAGTGTTGCTATATATAAACGAAACGTGTTTAATGTTTTATGCCATGACAAATAATAAACGTACTTAAGTATTAGTACATACTCCTGGATTCTTTATTAAATAACTTATATTTCATTACTTATATTGTATGTTTTTAAGCTAGTTCAAGTTAACATCATTCCCTTTATGCTTCGTAATATATTCAGATTGATGATCTCACACTGTTTTAAAATTTGAGATAACATCAAGAACAAAATGATTATATCAATGGTCGTATTGTTTTTAATCATATAACCAAACAATTCTAATGATAACAATAACATTTAGCTATATTAGGCATAGCTATATGACAAAACGTAAGCCTAATGGTTAAGCTGTTCTCAGCTCTGAAGACGTTAGGTCGCCTTTCGCAGTAATGTACTTCTTGACCACAATTAAATTGTTTGCTGAAAACATTGACTAGAAAACCGAAATCTCTTTAACCTAAAAAAACGGTATGTCAGGCACTTTAGACTTATTATCTACTTGTGTATAAAGAACTAGATGCTTGATAAGATCTTAAAAGATTTAAGAAAGACAGCGCTCTAATTTACTTTTACTTTTTAAATCAGGGTAGCATAGTAGTTTGCTAAGTTACTTTGGATATTTTGCTTGGACAAGAATTTAACAACAAAATAAAGGTTTTAAAACAGAATAAAAGTTCTGCTATTTTCAAATTTAGTTTTAAATGACTCGAATAATTTTCTCGGATGATTGTTGATTCTTTAACTAACGAAACTATATTAAGCTGCTCTTTGTCATAACATGGAAACACTTTTAGATTTATTAAACGGTAAAAATGTATTTCTAATATTAAAATCGTTGTGTGAGTAATTTTTAGTGACAGGTTTAAAATGAAGAATTGTTTTTTACAACTTGCTGATTACAATTATATAAATTGCAGGTTTATACTGTCAAGACCCAGATACACACAAGCTTTATCCCGTTAACGCCACATGGCCTTCAGAGACTTTCTGTGGAAACTACACATGTAAGCTAAGAAAAAAGAACCATACAGAAACAGAATATGTTCCAATTACCAAAATCAATATCACAGACAAATACTTCCTTAGAGATATAGACGATATGAAAACCAGCCCAAGTGATAATTCTTTTGCTGTAACAAAAGAATCTCAACAAGATAAAAGTCCTGTATATATAGAAAATAGTTTTTCTCCCAACCAACAAAAATTAAATAATCAGAAAGATAGATATTTAACGGACACTGAAATAAAGGCGATAACCGAGATTTTACATACTGTTAAAAAAAGTGACCTTGAAGCAATAATAGAAATATATAACTTGGCACAAGAGTTTCACAAAGAAATAGACGGTGCTACAACAGAAAGTTTAATTAAGGAAACAATAAATGCGCTTCAAGATGAAAAACACGAAAAAAAGAAAAATCATCACAAATCGTATTTTTATAAGCCTTTACATCAGACACATATGGAGAAGAATCTGACAGATATGGAGAAAGAAAGTTCAAGAGTACCACCACAAACATATTACCCATACCCTTATTTTAACGGACCCACTTTAAGGAATGGATTTGGTAGAACCCCATATTATTACCCAATGTCAAATTTCCAGCGCTCAGCATCGTACATTCATAGACCATACTTGCCACCTACGCCACCTACAGCGAGACCATGCACAACTCCACCTCGACCTTGTTCTAAACCTTGCACTAAGCCCCACGGCTATCTACCCCCTTGGTACAATAAATCAGTAATAAAGCCGTATGTTAACAAACACCACCTAGCTGATCCTATGTTACTACCATATCCGTTTTCCTACATTCACCATTACAATTATAGTTCCTACCCTGCTAGTTACTACTACAATAACTACCCTTGGGCGCAATTAGATTCCTATAGAAAAGCACCATCTCACGCATACCAACCTCAACTTGCACCAGAAGACACGAAAGCTGCCATAGCCGAAGAGAAAACCCTTGAAGCTATGAAAAATGACGGAAGCTCTGAAGTAGAAAGTGACAATGAATGGAAAACCAAACCACTCAGTGAAAAGATTTTAGATGAAGTTAGAGCAAATTTAGATAAATCAAAGTTATTGAAGCCATTACGAAAGAAGGTGAAATTGGAGAGGGTCGGAAAAGTGATTAAGCTGGATGAACTGACGAGAGAAAAACGAAGTGTAATTGAAATCAAAGGTACACCTGATGCTTATGAAGCGTATATTGATACTTCAAAGTAAGTTCTGTTTACTAACTACTACTAAATTTCAGTAGATCTCACCACTTAGACGTTTTGAGGTATATAGAAGGCATCATGTTATAGGTACTCATATTGTAAAAGAAAATCCTTATCTATTTGTTTGTCTTACGGGTATTTGCATAAAACGGGCATTTGCAAGATCTAATTACGAGCACATTTAAATAACTACAAATGATGCACATACTATATGACCTATCTTTCATTATTATTAATAAAGCATATTAACAAAATTATTGCAACGTTACAAGTAGTGTTGGCCTAGTGGTGGTTGGTTGAGGTCGTAGGTTAGATCTTAGGGCTGTGCTCCAATGGATTTTCTGTCTATGTACGCATTTAACTCTCGCTCGTTCGGTGAAGGAAAACATCGTGTGGAAACCGGCATGTCTTAGGCCTGAAAAGTTGACGGCGTGTGTTTTTGTATTTGAAAATAAATATAGATGTATTCAATTTAGTTTGGCTTCATTCAAGGACCTCTGCTAATTACCTATTTTTATCCACTAAGCTGCCTAGGCATTCAAATACGGAATTATTTATGTCAAATTCCAAAAAGGTTGAAATGAATGCGGTGCTCTAAAAAGGTGACAAATTAATGCAACAAAAACCAATGGAATCCGACCTTTTGTCTTGACAGATGTTTCCACCCTTATCATTGTCCCCTTGATAAAAGACGCATTTCTTAGGGAGATGGTTTTTTTTAAATTTTATTGTTGGTTTTAAAAGCATGCTTACTCGATAGTCGTAACCTGAAGTGACAGTTACAGAAAATCTATTTGATATCTGCCATTAAATTGTTTATGATATTTTATCGCAATTGCTTAGATCCTCAAACTATAGAAGACTAACGCTCTTATTCATAAAAACTGAATATGTTTTAAAATATTTTAACTAATAATCATTTGTCTCTTTCTGACTAATAGGGTGCAAGCTTGAGTAAAAGAGACTCACTATTGATTTAGTAAAACAGCGTTACAATGAGGTTTAGTGTTTCTGAGAATTATTCTGAATATATATTGTATATACAAAGAAAATTAAATCTTTTAATTTGCTATATATACATAGGTATATAAAGAGCCTACCTTTTGTAATAAAAAAGCACACATAACGTAAATGTTCGTCGCCAAAGTTACCCGAAAACATGAAGCAAAAAAGCCAGTTTGAAATTTAGATAGTTATTTGTTTGCATGAAAAAGTTTTAATTAATAGGTATGAGGTAGTTTTTAACTTTGCGTCTCGTTACGGGTTGTGATGAGTTGGTACTTGCCGCATTAAGAATGGAACTTTGTAAACTTTTGGTACCAATTACTTAGTTGAGATAGTTGTAAGAGTCTTAAAATATCTTCTTGAAACGAAAACGTCTCTAGGACTTCGTCAACGTTTAGTTAGAATGTTATTTCTATGCAGAAAACATTAATTTAAGTCTAAGCGTGAAAGCTCCTTTAGTAAGTTAAGTTAATGATTACTTATATGTCTAAAAATATTGTTTTAGTACCACATAAATAGTTGTTAACTTTGCCATTAAATTTCGTAGCTGAATTACACGGTTCCTTAAATATATATATACCAAAATGACAATTTTCATTTATGACTCTGAGTACGGCTGTAAGACTCTGCAAGCTAGAATAAGAATATTCTTTTCAATGCAAATATTCATTTAAATATGTGCTGTGAAAACGTTACCAAGCTAATGGTGACATTCAATACATAAACAGCATAAAAAACTAAAAAAACCTAATTGCGAATACAGCTGTAACTTTCATTTAGTATGTCTTAGCTAGAGATAAAAAGCTTTGAGGTCTTTAGATTAAGTGATGTATAAGCAGCTTTTCTAAGAAAGAAGAAAAATAATTTACTTTACATTTCAGATGTGAACCTAGTATCACGCCAGGCTTCTTCCGAGTTGGAAATTTAAGTGCACCGTTTCCAGAATGTTGTCCACAAAGAATCAGTTAGTCAAATAAACGATTAGTAGCCATAATAAAGTCCTGTTAATTTATTGCAACAATAATTTTGGAAATTGTAAAACCCAATCAGCATTGTGTTTTTATAAGATAAATTTGGTCGTGTTACTTTGATGAAAATGTGCGTCAATTTATGTAAATCACCAATTTACTAAAAGGACTAAAATTGCTATAAAATGGTATGTGTTTTTAACTATAAGTTCCTATTGTAGTTTTGAATGTATGACAACATTAAAAATAATGCTTAAGGTGTAAATATTGTGTAATTAAAGTTTATTTTTCTTAAACAATGCATTTGATTTACAAACTGTATATAGGTATGAACATGAGCAGAAGCTCAAAATCGCTGTAAATCCATTATCATGGAGCTTACGATACTGCGATTTTATTGATATTTATAGCCTTCTTCGTCTAAGCTAAAACACAAAAAAAATACTAATAAGAGATACACAAATCAACCACAGTCTGGTAAATTTTCATTAACAAGTAATTTGTTTTCGGAATATTTTTATAAAATCATATAAACAATATTTGTATAAATTTGGTGATTAAACGCAATTAATACACTACGTTATTATATGAGGCACTTGCATATTTAAATTTCGTTTTGCTTCATACCTAAGTCTGATCTAAGAACAGTTGTTAATCAAACTTTTATATAAATCTCATTCTGTTTAGTACCAATAATCCATGTGACGTCAAATTTAAATAATACAAATTTTTGGCTAAACATTGTAATTCTCTTAAAGAGCACGACCTAACTCGTAAAACGTCACAATAATTAAAACATCCCGCGCACATTCCTCTCATTCGAGGGATTTTATCAAAGGGTCTAATAAAAAAGGACCTTTGTTAAAAACACATTAGTCAATCTCCGGGCCTCCAATTAAGTCTGTCTTACGTGAGATAACCCTAATTTAAAATTGATCACAAGAATGTGTCAGCCACAGCCGGTATTTGTTCCGTAGTTTTGAATTGTGAAAGTATGTAATATCTGCAATATTAATCCTTATAGAAAGAGTTTATTTATTTTTTAATTACTATTTATATTTTAATGCGCAGAGGCGATGAGAACTTGGAAAACCAGACCGTGGTCGGTAACACAAAATTCTGTTCACCAACCTGATGGACCGATCAAGTGAGAGACTTATTCTTCTTAAAACTGTAGTGTAATAAGAGAGGCGCTAGACAGAAGCCGGTAGAAACAGATAATCCGCTCCAGATTATGTATATATTGATCTAACAATATTTTCCTTTACCGTGCCACCGAGTTTGTTTACGGGCCGGATTTAATTGGTGTCTACGTACATCACACGCTTACCACTAATACTTCTAAACGTTATGAGTGTCTAAATAATATTAATCTCAGATAATACGACTATCCTGAACGAATCTTTTATCCTGTACAAAATGGGTATGGAATTGTTGCTCTCACATCATTATATAGTCAAAAATCACAAGGGATGCTACATATTTGAATGTACCGGTAGCGAAAATTCAATAAGTATATATAATATTATAATATTTTAGTATTTAATAATGGAGAACCCTAAAAGCTTCTTAATAAATCAGATAGGGTGTGAGCCGCCCCCACACGGTCACATGCTTTGACTTGTATTTTTTCCTACTTACGTTTCTTTTCTGATCTGGTATTGTGTATTAATAAAAAAACAATCTTAAAAGTGCTTCAGAAATGTTTGACTGAAGTGTAAATAATAATAATGATAAGGGGTTTAAATGTTACGTATAACGTATATAATACCAACATACTATATGTGAAGACAAATTAACTGTTTTTGTGTTCATTCCAAAGTGGCTATATATTTGAATAGTTCGACGGGGGGTTATTAAATCTTTCATGTAAGTAGTTAACGTTAAGTATACCAGGAATACTAAAAAATCAACTAAAAATCCATTAAATACAAATATAGTATCAGTTAGGCCATAAACGTTACCTAATGGAGCAACCAAAACATTTCCTTTAAGAACTCTTGGGGTTCACTTAAAAAGTAATTTTCCCGAGTTGTCCGCGTGAATTATTGCTAGTGGGACAGAGATGGAAATTGTAAGACACCCCAAGTGTAACAAGGATGGGTGTGAATTTAAATTTTTTTATCGACTCGGAGATATGTCGTATCTAATGGTAATGTTACAAGTCCGTGTTACGCATTGTAATGCTGTAATAATGTGCGGGGTTTAAGGGACACGTAATTTGAAATGTTCAGGGATAAACGACTTAAGGTACAAAAATACCTTTTTTCAAATAACAATCTGTTTTTATGAGATACATTGGGTTTAGAATAGATGAGAAGTAGCGGGCACCAAAACGAAGATGTACCTGTAACAAAAAATATTTATTAATTAATAACTATGATGATGTTTTGATGTCTGTGGGTGTAAAGACGAATTGGTCTGAAATTAGTTGATTCCAAGTAAGTGAAATAATCTCGTTATAAGAAAATGTACTTTTCTGGATAAAAATGAATTGAATTATGTCTAGAAATAAATGCCATACATGCAGAACGCCGGCAAAGTTTATACGTTTGACATAGAAAAATAACTTTCCTATGAATTAAACGCGCTTTTATTCTGCTCTGGTGATCTAATTTTAATTAGCCATTGAATGGAGATAAGATACACTTTCAGTCTGGAGCTGACGCATTTTTATGTATATTTTATTAATTATTTATACTATATGTAGGCAGATCAGCGTCATAGCAATTATTGTGTCACCTAAGTCCTTCAGTTTATACGTTATATACATTAACCATTGTGGTTTTGAAGGTTGTAGGGCAAAAGTGCGAACAATACTTTCTAGAAAAATGGAAATAATAAAAGTCTTAGGAAAACGCTTTCATAAAACTCTTTATAACATTAAAATTAAAAAGAATTGAAGTGTTTAAAAGCTTTTCAATGTTTTAATTACGGCTTACCAAAGTTGCCACGTTCTTTTTAAATCCAAACTATAAGCGCTGAGGATTCTTTCTGCTACGGATTAACCCATGGAGTAAATCAATTGTTTGATAACGAGAAATGGGATTGGATAAAAACGAGTTTCTTTTACCTGAAGTATTATTCTGTTTAATGTTTCATTGACTTCCGTTAATTCTATTTGGTTGAAAATACATTTTCAGTTTGATATTGAATACATTGCTATATTAACACAAAAAAAAAAAAATTATCGAAACTTCTTATCCTAAGTCTTATAAATCCTTGTATATTTTTTTTTTAAATGTTTTCTAGATAATTTCCCGACTATGTAGTCGTCGGAGGTATTAAATAACTTAAGAATTACCTATTTCTTTTAACTAGTTTTTGTAAGACATTTACAGCAAATTCCAAAAAAGATGCCTTTTCACATAATGTTAAACATTATCTCCTTTAAATTCGTCTGTTACTTTTATGCCCATATCTTGTTCAGTGTTGTACCTGTAAATCCTTATATTTACTGTTATTTTGAGTAAACTCCGATTGTATTACATGTAAATGAAAACTTTTACTGTAAACTTGAAGCATATCATAAAATTATCTAACAAAGTTTACCTTTGGAAGGGATTACAATGTTTGTTCTACCTTTTACCTTTGATAACGACATACGTCACGAGTGCTTACCTTTGAGATTCCGTAAGCGATACAGCCTTTTACTTATGAAAACAGTTTAAATTGAAAGGCCAATACGGGACGTGATTTTCTTTTAAGCACTGGAAAGGTTCAATTTTAGAATGAGAGACATAGATAATAAAATTTTGCAAACTTGACGAATTTATTTCAACAGTTTCAAAAAGTTCCGGTCTAGAAGGAAGGTACGTAGGAGTGCTGTCAATTTAAAGAATAGGCTATACTTGAATCTTACTTAAAAAAAGCTTGCACTTATATTTTTGTGTCATTTATCAAACAATTGACGTCTAGAAAGTAAACCGAGGATCTTCCACTTCCATAAGATTAATTAAATTATAATTTTAAACAAAAAACTTAAAAAATTAAATAAAAAAATAATAATAATAGTTAATTGTATTTTATGTTTAAATGTGTATTTGTGGCTGTGCAAATACTGAAAACAAAATAAATAAATAATATTTTAACGTCCATTTTTTTCAACAGCTTGCTAATACCTCAACGTGTAGAAGCTAACAAATTCTTTAACATTTTTAATAAGATATTTACTCAAAGTAAGATAAAGTTTATTCCAAACAAAACTGATAGGACTATTCTAAGAAGGAAGCAGGTGTCCTGTCACATATCAAAGGACCACCACGCGGCTATGATTAAAGCCTCACAGAGAACCTTAAACTAAAAAAAATATTTATACTGCAATGAGTTATAACTAACGCCCTTTTCTTAATCTAATCTACCACAAGTACGATTACCACAAGTACTAAAATAAATTATTAAACAGTTCCTTTCTATGACTTTATAAACATTTAAAGTTATATTTTGAATATAACTCTAAGTAACCCTATTATTATAAAAATGGCAGCAATAACATGATAACAAACACGGCCTTTTGTTTTATAATAAAAAAACTAGACTTTAAAAATTTTAAAAATGCTACATTACATAAAATGGCCAATTACTATGCGTTGCATTATTTAAAAAAATGTGCGTGTGTGTCTTAAATATGCTAATAATTATATTATAAAGAAAAACCACAACTTTTATTAACATACAAACATGGAATATTTTATTATTTAAGACAAAAATATAGGTTAAGATCGAGTCGAGACTTATAAGCATGTCAGTTCTCCGTATGTCAGATTTAATACGGTATAACGGAGCCACTCTGAAAAAATCCAAAGCTTGTTATGGTATGTAACAGAAATTCACCGTGCTGGGAATTCCAATACGAGTATTTATCCTCAAAAATTACTTTAAAACTTTGTTATTTTTTAGTTATTTTTCGTTGTTGGTTTAGCCATTGAAAGCGTGGACAATTTTATAATGAGTCCATCATATTTTATATACAATTCTGTATTAGAATGTTTGGTGCCTATA